TATCGTCCAATCTGACCTCCATTGCCCACTGATTACAGTCTTTTTTACCTCAATTTCCCACCAATTGCGGTTCTTAAAACCACCTCCACCCAACTACGGTCCAATCCGACTTTTGTCGCCCGTTGACTACGACCTTTTTCGACTATTGTTGTATGTCTAATATAGTCTATTAAGACCTTCGTTGTCCGCTGGCTACGATCTTTCTGACTTCCGTTGCTTGCCAACTACAGTCCCTTCCAACCACCGTCATCTGATTATTATCCTTCCAACCACTGCCTCCCGATTATAATTTTTCTGACCTTTGTTGTCCGTCGTGACTGAGGTCCTTCAGACCATCGTCTTCCGATTATGATATTTCTTATATCTGCTCCCACTCACTATGGTCATTACCGACCACCATCTCCATATTACGATCTTTCTGAACTCCGTCGTCCGCCGACTACAGTCCTTTCGACTACCATCACCGACTACGATCTTTTTGACCTCCGTTGCCTGCATACTATGATCCTTCTGATCATTGTCATCGACTAAGATCTTTTTGACTTTCAATCGCTCGCCGATTGTGGTTCCTGGCCATCATCACTCTACTATGGTCTTTTCAACCTACATCATCCATAGAATACGATCTTTCTGACCTCCGTCGCCCACCTATTATGGTCCTTCCAACCACCATCATCTAACTACGGTCTTTTCGACTTTCATCGCTCCCCCCCCCCCCCCCCCCCCCCCCCCCCCCAACTTTCTAACCTTCAACACCTGGCAACTATAGTCTTTCTGACCTTTGTTGCTCGTAGACTACGATGTTTTCAACCTCTGTGGCCTAAATACCATCATTCCAACCACCATCATTAGACTGCGGTCTTTCTGATCTTCGTCGCCCGCCAACTATGGTCCTTTTAACCATCATCAGTTGACTATAGTCTTTCTGATCTTCTTCGCCCGACTATGATCCTTCTGACCATCGTCATCATATTATGGTCCTTCCGACCTACATTGCTCGTTGACTATGTTGCTACCAACCAAACAAACATGTTTGCACTGATTCTTCCAACTCCCAACATGTACTGCGCTATATATAAATGTATATTGGCTACATGAAGCCAAGGCCCTTCCCAAGAAAAGGTTCTCATTATTAATCAATTGCAAACACTAGTAGATTCATTTAAGCTAGGCAAGTCCCCATAATTTTCCTCATTTCAGGGGTTTCCATATAAAAACTCTAGTCTCTTATGAATGCTACACCCATACTGTTTATTTGTCAGTATGTTGGATTTTCGTACAAAACTAGGAAGTTAAATTTTATATTTCCCTACCGTCGTGAATATTAGAGGACGCAACAATATTAATTTAATATTATTTTTAAATTAAAAGAAAACAATATAGAGGACTGTTATATTAAAGAAAAAGATGATGAAATTAAATTTTGATTTTTCAATAAATTTATATTTTGCAAAATATGTCAAATTCACAACACCAAGCCAATTCCTTGGCCAATTTATTCTTCCACAAAGGCTAGTTTGAAACAACTTTTTTATTACTATCCAAAATGACTTTTTAAAACAAAATTTTTTTGAAAAAAAAAAATAATTATAAAATTATTTTAAAAAAGTCATAAGAAAGCCTTCTCAAATGAAGCCTAATTTTTTTTGGGGACATTTTAATCATTTAAGACAAACTCACACACAACGAGTACACAAAGACTCGAACTTAAGACGTTTTAGTACAAAGCCTAAGCTCATAACCAACATGTCAAGGATGGAGAGAAAGCACCTGCGCCACGTGGCCTTGATTGAGTGGAGATGCAGCTTTATCTTATTTATTTATTTCTAAAGAGAAAATAGATGTATATTATCTCTCAACAGAAGTAGTTGAACACCCATAAATTTATAGCTAGAACTATTACACCGCATAATATTAAAGATAGCAGCTGCATGTAAATAATTATGCTTTGATGGCCATCATAAATCCTAGCTAGGCTCATCATCATCTTTTTGATCTTTCATTATAACACTCCACACAAGCACAAATATAATAATAAAAGATACAAGGAAGCAAGGAAGAGAAGGAGGTTCTTAAGCTTAAGCTTTCATTTGGGACGGCTTTCTTATTGCTTTTTAAAGCGGTGTTTTTAAAATTTTGTACTAGAAAGCTACTTTAAGATGAGGTAAGATAGTTGTTTCAAAAGAAGCCGTAGCTCTGTTTGGTACAGCTTTAGGCCTCTGTTTTTTATGTTTTAAAAAAAAAATTATAGTAAAAAGTAGCGTTAGAAAGCAATCAGAAATCCGTCCTGAATAAAGTCTTAGGTTTCGTTTTTATTGCTTCTTAAAGCAGCTTTTAAGTATAAAAAATTTATTTAATGTACTAAAAAACTACTTTAAGAAAGAGTAAGAAAGCCGTCCCAAACGAAACCTTAAGCTTCGTTTGAGACTACTTTCTTACTACTTCATAAAGCAGCTTTCAAGTACAAAAATTTTAATTTTTGTATTAGAAAGATGATTTAAGAAATAATAAAAAAGTCGTCCAAACAAATCCTTAGGTTTCTTTTGTGACGGCTTTTTTATTGATCCTTGAAACAACTTTCTTATTCAAAAACTAAATTTTTTATACTAAAAAGTTGGTTTAAGAAGCAGTAAGAAAGCCATCCCAAACGAAGCCGTAGGCTTTGTTTGGGACGGCTTTCATGCTGCTTCTTAAAGCAGCTTTCTAGTTAAAAAATTAAAATTTTTCTACCAGAAAGCTACTTTAAGAAGCAGCAAGAAAGCCGTCACAAACGAAGTCTTAGTCTTCATTTGAAATAGCTTTTGACTACTGCATTTTCCTTGCTTTCAAGAAAATTATCCCAAATAAAACTATAATTCTCCTAAAATAGAGCTTATTTATTCAACCCCCAAAAAAAAACCTTTAAAATAAAATTTGCATGTTGTGCCTATATGAGTAAAAGGAATGAAAAAGGAAGGCTTAGATTCCCCCTTTTTTCTTTTTGCGTACAAATTTGCAAATTTTTTATTATTTGCAAATAAATATCACAATAGAAAAAAAATACTTCTGATAATTGCAGAATAAAAGAATCTTCAACGAAAATAAGCCCATAGTCCTAATATACCCATGTGCTCATTTGTCAAGTCTTCCACGCTATGTTAATAGGTCAAATTTCGCCAACAGTCCTAAATTGGACTCTTTCTCAATTAATTGTTCATTCAATTTGACCATCCAAAAATTCAAATTTACTTTCTAAACCTTTTTTTTTTTATTTCCTTCAATTAGTTCTCTAATTTTCTTTATTTACCAAAATGCTAAGGGGGGATTTTGTTACTAAAAAGTTATTTAAGAAAGTAACAAAAAAAAGCTTTATTTTTTAAATTGAAATTTAACTTTTTTTTTTTATTTTAAGGCTTTAGAAATTACTATAATATAACTTTTACCTTTATTAATAATACAATAATAAATGAAAAGATGATGATTTTAATATTATTATTATGTGTTGTAGCAATAAAACAATAGAAAAGTAATTTATGTGTGGCAATGTATGCTTTATAAACAAATATAATATTAGAATCCAAATTTTTATAAATAAAGGAGTGTTGCTTTGGTTTTGCTTAGTAGGAAATAGTCGAAGTTAGGTAGTGGTTTAACTGAGTCGAATCTAGCTTTGAGTCAACTCGAATATAACTCAATAAATGACTTGTGAGCTGAACTCGATCATCTAACAAGTAACCTTGAGCTAATCCTAAATTGACTTATTAGGTGTGAGCTGTGAGGGTGACTCAAGCTCTACTTGACTCATTTACATCCCTAAAATTAGGTGAAGATGAATGCTTCATTTGGGGTGGTTTTTTTATTGTTTCTTAAATCGAAGTTTTTTGTAATTTTTCTACTAAAACTCTGTTTAAAAAAAAAAACAATAAAAAACCGTCCCAAACGAAGATGAAATCGTGCTTAAACTATAAAAGAATTTTTTACTCATGATTGAAATCATAATTCAAAAATATATAATTAATTCATGTGGTGTTCTCTATCTCTTATGTACAAAAGAATCTATAATCAAATCAAGTAAGACTCTTAATACTCTTTTTAAGTAGTAATTAAATAAATTTCAATTTTTTAAAAAACTGAATTTTAAATGAACTAAGATTTAACACAATCCAATGTGTTTATTTAAATTCACAAATAACTAAATTCTTCCTTATTAAAGGCTTAATATTATGCTCAATGATAAAATTTATATAATTGAATGATGTTAAATTGTTATGTATATCAAACAACACATTAAATTTTTTTATTAATCATAACCTCTTATTATTATAGAGTTATTTGTCTATAAAATTTATACCATTAAGTGAATGTTTTATGCTAAAATCATTTTTTCCCCTTAAAAATAGAACCCACAATGGCATGCTTAGTTATTTAGGCTTCGTTTGGGGCGACTTTCTTGCTGCTTCTTAAAGCATCTTTCTAGTAGAAACTTTTTAGTTGTTTAAGAAGCAAAAAGAAAGCCCATCCAAATGAAGCCTTAGGCTTTCATTGGGACAACTTTTTTTATGTTTTCTAACTCTACTTTTTACATTGAATCATCCAACTTTAACTCTAAAATTATAACATTATTCATGCTTCATTATTTTGTGTGATGAATACAAAATACTTTTAATCTATCACAACAAAGTATTATTGTATCTTTTATATCTAAAAAAATTAATAAATATACATACAAATATTTTATGAGGTCTTTGATGCTCGTTCTTAAAAATGGGGACGGTTCATCGGTTGAACCGGCGGTTCAAATCGATTCCCATTAGCTTTATGTTGGGCCGGTTTTTCATGAGGATCGAACCGATCACATGTCTGATTCACGATTGAACCGGTCGAATCGGCCGGTTCGATTTTCTAAACCATGCCCATATATATGATCCTTGGTCTTCTCTCTTCATATTTTATATAAATTTTTACCAGCAAGTCTCTAATATCTTATATATTAAATTATTCAATTTTTATTATTTTTTTTAAACAATGGCAGGGCCGACATGTTAATAAGTATAAAAATTACAAGACCTTAAAAGATCATAAGCTCACTAAAAGAACATCATTTGAATAAAAACCTACGAGCTTTGGATCCAACTAAATATATAAGATAAAAAGCAAGGCAAAACAAAAGATAACAACAAGGAAGTATCAGCAAACTCCAACGCACCAAAAGCAACAGCTCCCCAGCAAACGTCCACGAAGAGTATCCAAGCAACCCGGATCGAAGTCCAGAAATGGCAGAAACAACCACAATCAAAGACCAAAAGACCACCAAGGTTGCAACCAATCCTGGCCATCCATGGGGCAAGCAGAAGAACTATCTCCTAGATTTGCAATAACGCTATTTTCCACAACGAGAGAAAGGGGGACCCAAAGCCCTAGAGATATCCAAACCATACGAGCCTTGTAAGGCCCCAACTTCATCCTCCAAATCATCATCCAGGTCGCACGAAGAATCCATCAAGTCACCCAACCAATCAATTTGTCTCAAACAGGACTCCCCTGCTCTCGACAAAATCCTTGACTTAAAAATATTTGGCGAAATAAGCCCCACGGGAACATCAACCAAATCATCACAATCACTCCCCCCAACGGAGGGAATCCTGACCAAAGATTCCAAATCATCAACAAAAACATTGCCAGTAACTATCGCATATCCCATGAGGGGAAGAACAACAACCACCACAATAGGGACATCCATAACCCTATCTAAACCAATGCACTCATCCATCTGAATCACACCATCATCCGCCTCGACCTCCTCAACAATAGGAGCAAGCAAGTCATACAAATCCTAAATAAACTCACCAGGAGCATTCAACACAATGCATTCACTCGGCTGAAGGATAGCAATAGGCATACTAAAACATCATCACTGTGTGGAACACCAACACCTAACTCTACAACATTCGCAATAACAAGACCAACCTCAATAAGTAAAGGAGACACGACAGTCATAGTATCAATGTCAAGATTAATATCATTAACAAGTACCCCTTATTAAGCACCACCTAAACCAAACCATTAATAGGATTATTAGCCACCTCCATGACGGCCGCCTCAGGAACAGAGGGATGCACATCAATCTTAGGAAATAAAATAGGGCAAACCTCTTTAGAATGATCCAACGTTTTACAATGAGAGCAATATAATGGGAAAACCACCATTTCAATATTTTGGATGTATCCCATAAATTCAGAGCCAAGCCACACCTGAGAAGTATAACGTTTTGTGACATCTAGTTCCACAAGAATTCAAGCAATAGACGGCCGAGTGTCGTTCGAAGTGGCATTGTCAACACGCTAAGGCCTACCAAACAAAGAGCCCAAACCATGAAAAGTGTGAGGTAAAAAAAAGTGAGGACACAAACTGGGAAAAGAGACCCACACGGGCACAATAGGCGACTCAACATTAACGTCAAAGATGGGAGACCACTTCAACAACTTCATGAAACGGGTTAGCAATGAAATACGATCAGTGAGAGAAAATCCTACAATAATATAGGTCATTAGCTAGCTTGATCAACACATTTTTAGGATTCAAAACAGTAATCGAAAACGCACCACCCATCTTGAGATTAAAGAAGAATTTCTGAATCAAATCCAGAGGCAGGCGACGACCCAAAAATTTTCCTACCAACGCAAACTCAAAAGGCGCTGCAAGAGACAATAATTCCTCATCCGAAATGATTAAAGAAGGCAAATCACGAAGAGAAGAAACTTTGAGCAGTGAAAAACCAGGTGAATCACCAGATAAAGCATCACGAAACGATTTCGACTTTGCCTTGCCATCCAAAAACCCAGGATCCCCAAGCCGATTTACAGCCATACGGAAAAAAATCACATGAAATCAAAGGTTAAGGGAAGAAAAAATATTGAACACCAGATACCACACACAGAGCCAAGCAACCCTAGACATAGAGGCCTAGCTGACATCGAGAGGTTGGGTACGATCAAAGTCAAACAAGGTGCTGGTTAGAGGAGGACGTTGGGCCAGGGCTTGAAGGAAGACGGTTGAGTTTCTGCTTGAGATGAGAGTAAACCCCCTCTTTTTTGTAATGTGGTCGGCGGTAGCTAGGGGTGGGAGTTGTCGGACCAGACAGATACGAAATGGCGGTGAAATGAGTCGGATGGGAGGCGATGGCCGAGCTCGAGCTGGGGGACGGTTCGGCCTAGAGGTGAATGATGTCGAGAGGAAGTGTCGTACAATTGTAGTCGGCCGTCGGTGGAACTGGGTACGATCCGGCCAATTGAGAGGGGAGCTGGGTCGTAACCACGTCGAAGCTAGGGCTCAGCGTTGTGGCCATAAAACCCTATTCACTCGTAATGAAATAATTTTTATTAATTTTAATTTTTTTATCTTCTAAATTAGGGCTGTCAAAATCGGATCACGGGTTAAGTTTTGATCTAACTCGGAACTGACCCAGCATTGTTCGACCCGAATCCTATCCATTTTTGCAAACTGGTCAGTTTTCGGATCCAAACCCGACCCGCTTTGGGTCTCGATCAACCCAACCCGACACACTTCGAATATGTTTTAATAATTTTTTTAATTTAATTTGACTTATTTAAACTTAAATCGAATTAAGATAAGATTTACTTTAATCAATTTAAAATTAACCAAGCTTAATTCAATTTTGACAATATGGTTAATTATTTTTTAGAAATAGCATTTACTTATTTCATAATAAAATTTTAAAATCCTCCTAAATCAATTAAAAACGAGTCAAACCGATTTGATTTCGTATTTCTGGGTCAACTCGAACCCGTCCCGATTTTACAAACGGTCAAAATCTCTAACCCGAACCAAACCCAATTCTGATTCTAGTTAACCGAACCCAAAATTTTCTGATCGGGTTCGAGTCAAATTTTCAGATTGTGTCAAATATTAACACCTGTATTATAAATATTTTATTTCATTTTTTAATTATTTGCATTTACTGAATATTTATATCCAAAACCCAAAAAAAAAAATCAATATAAAATAATATTTTAAGATAATTTTTCTAATAATACATCACATACTGTTCCATAAGTAAAGGCATATTTTTCTCGTGATTAGCTGTCATGCACCCTTTTCACACCAGCACCCCCTTCCTTCAATGAACATAGAAATTAATTATATACCAACACCCCAATCAGCCAATCTCGCCAAGCATAATGGAACTGGGCCCCACTCCAGCCCTCCCACGTGCACTGTCCCCCATCCATTTTTTTTAAAAAGCTTTAATTAATTAAATAATTAAACTTCTAATTACACTTAAGAGCGGTTTAACTGTTATTCCTATCTAATCTAATTTTTAGGTGTTAAAATTTAATGATAATAAAAATAAAATTATGTTATCAATAAAATAACTAAATTAAATTATTAAAAATATAAATCACAATTAATAATAATTTATATAATGTATTACCAAATCTTAAATCTAAAAAATTGTTGCAAAATATTTTATTTGAAATTTATAAAAAATACATAATATTGGTGGATTTGTAAAAGAGTACAAAAGTTAAAATAAAATTGTTCTACTATGTTTAATTTTTTTATTAATATTTAAAATTGTTATAATATTAAATGTCTCCAAAGCATTTAAAAAATATACTTTAATTAAACTCCTAATTACAATTAAGCCTAAAAATTGTGCAAAATGTTTTATTTTGAAATTTTAGAAATAGAAAAATAAATAGTATGGGTAGATTTGTAAAAGAGCACAAAATGAAAATAAATTTGATTGTGTCACTGTCATATTGGGGCAGAGAACCAAGCAAACCAAACTTTCTCATGTGGGAGTTGTGGACGCCATTCAATGAAGAAATATTTTCTCCTATTTCTCTCTACTTCTGCGACCTAAAATCGAAAAAAAAAGGGAACTTTTCAAAAAAGCACCGGTGAAATGGAATATTACATTACGGCCAAACCAGCGATTAAGCTCCGGCGCCCGCGGCCATGCCCGCCGGCGGCGGAGGAGGCAGCCGCCCCGTATTTTTGCCGACGCATCTCAACAATCCGTCGATGGGAGTTCGAGTGAACCGAGGCCGTGAAGGTCGGGCTGTTCGCCGGCCGGTACTCCGGAACGAGCCGACCGGATTTGAACCGTACACCGCACGCGTTGCAGAGAGTCTTTGGCCCCTCGGGCCCGGCTCTCCACTGCGGCGTCTCCTCTGACTCGCAGTGCCGACACTTCCTCTTCCCAGCCGAGGCCGCCGGATGGGCTGCCGGCGGCGGAGGGATGAAACAAGGTAGCGTCTTGCGCCGCCGGCGCTGCCCCTTGGTTCGTAACTTTGCCGGAGCTCGAAAGGGAAGCGCAGAAGCTAGGACGGAAACAGGGCTCCGGCGATCGCCGGAGGCGGCGGAGCTGCTGCTAAATGATTGGGCCGAGAGGTCGAAAGAGGTTTCTAGCGCCGGGAAAACGTCTTTATTCGCAAGCCACTCAAGCTCCTCTTCTTCCTCCTCGTTTTTTCCTTCCTGCGCCGCTAAACCCTAGAACGGCATGGAAACCCAAGAGAGGTCACACCTTTGTAAAATTTTAAGTGAAATATGAGATTTCTTTAGGGATTAGAGGCCTACGTGCAGTCCATCGACGTCGGCGTCCAGGATTTCTTGGAAGAAATGCGCCGCTCGGCGGCGGCTAGGGTTAGGGTTTGTAGACCCCTTCTCGTCGGAGAAATCCAGTAGAAAGAGCTCGTCAGCAAAGTCCGCCGCCGCCGTTGGTTTGAACATTTCGGTCTCCGTAGCTTTGATTGAGGACAGAAGGAGAGAGAGAGAGAGAGAGGGGGGGAAAGGGAGGAGGAGAGGATAAAGCCGAAGGGCTTTTTCTTTGCTCCTCTTCTTCATCTCAGCTTTTTTTTTTTTAATAATTTATTAAAAAAATAAAATAACAATAACAATAACAAACTTATAAAAAATGAAAACTACTAAAAAATCGTTAATTTCCCAAAAAAAAATTCGTTCATAATTAATTTATTTAACGTAATTAAAAAAATAATTACTTTTTAGTATTTATCATATATTGTTTTTTAATAATAAATTTGTACATTATAACATATTAATTTCCTTATATTTATATCAATAAATTTTAACCTCAGCTTTCATTCATTTTGTTTTTCTGATAAGGCAATGGATTTATTTAAATTTACAGAAATTTTTATTTTATGATTTTTTTAAATTTTTGAAAATTGAAATTATAACGGTCAAATTTAAAGGGCAAAAGCCTATCACATAGGAAGTTTTTTTTTTTTTAAGGTAAATCATTAATTTGAAAGTGGCACGGTTCTCTGTCAGACTCCATTCATAATAAATCTCGTTGGGAAGCATGAATGGGAGATGGCTTTTTTTTATTTATATGATACATTTATAAATAAAATAATATACAAATAAAAAATCATTATATATTTAAATATCAAATTATTCTTCGAATCAACACTAAATTAGGAACAATTATTAGGTCAGGTATCCTGACGTAGCTCTACGTTCGGACGCCAATAACATGTCTCCACGTACTCTTACTATTTACCGCGTGGCCCGATGACTTGACCCGGACTGGAACCCGTGATTGCTATGTTCGCGTATTGCAAGGTATTGCTCAGTATTGATAGGTATTGCTCAATATTGCTATGTATTGCTTGACAATAATGAAAAATATCGCTCTGTGAAGAGCAATACCGAGCAGTACATAGCAAAACTCGGTATTGGTCTTGGCCTAGCAATATCGAGTAATATCTAGCAATACGCGAAAATAGCAATTCCGGGGTCATTCTGGGTCGGGTTGTCGTGCCGTGTGGTAAAGAGTAATAAACACGTTGCATTATTTTAGTGACGCCCAAATATAGAACTACGTTGACCTGACAATGACTTGACCTAATAAAAGTTCCTAAATCAGACAGGCTATAAATATCCCTAAGTTGAACTACAACTAGCTTCACATAGCCTCCTACGATATATCGGCTTTCTTCTCCCATACTGCGCAGCAATGTCTGAGAAGAAACAACAGCACATCGTAATGCTGCCTTTCATGGCGAAAGGCCACTTGATCCCCTTCCTCAACCTCGCTCGCTTCATCGAAAAGCTGAAACCCTACTGCTCCATCTCCATCGCCACCACCCCTCTCAACATCCAGTCCCTCCGCTCCTCTGTCCCTTCCACCTCCTCCATCCACTTCGCTCCACTCCCCTTCTCCCCCACCGATCACGGCCTCCCTCCCGATACCGAGAACAGCTCCTCCATCTCCCATATCGACTCCCTCCCTCTCCTCATGTTCGCGTCCGAAACCCTAGCACCGGATTTCGATAAACTCCTCTCCGATCTCACTACCCTCCATCGCAGCCCCCCTCTCCTCATCATCGCCGACGCCTTCGCAGGCTGGTCCCTCCCCATTGCCCGCAACCGCGGAATCCCTTACTTCGCATTTACCACTAGCGGAGGATTTGGCACCGCCGCCTTTACGTCCCTCTGGCTACACCTACCCCACAGACTCACAGACTCCGATACCTTCCATGTCCCCGGCTTTCCCGACCATTTTCGTCTTGATCGATCCCAGATGTCGCACTACATGAGCGCCGCCGATGGATCTGATGACTGGTCTGTCTTCCTCCGACGCCAGATTAATTTATATTTGAAATCGGACGCTCTGCTCTGCAACACGGTGGAGGAAATCGAACCCACTGGGGTCCATTTACTCCGACGGATCACCGGACTCCATGTATTAACCGTTGGGATCGGCAGGGAAGTTGGGATGGAGGTCGATCCTTGCATCGAATGGCTTGAATCTCATCGTCCGGCTTCGGTGCTCTACATCTCGTTCGGATCGCAGAACACTATCGGAGCGTCGCAGATGATGGCGCTAGCGGAAGGGCTGGAGGCGAGCGGTCTGGCGTTCATCTGGGTTGTCCGGCCGCCGCTCGGATTCGACATGAATGGAGAGTTTGAAGCAGACAGGTGGCTACCAGACGGTTTTGAGGCTAGAATGGCGGAGAAACGGCGGGGATTGGTGGTGCGCAGATGGGCACCGCAGATTGGAATATTGTCGCATAAGGCGACGGGGGGATTTATGAGCCATTGCGGGTGGAATTCGGTGATGGAGAGTTTGAGCAGAGGGGTGCCGGTGATCGGATGGCCGGTGTCTTCAGAGCAGTTTTATAACTCGATGATGATGGTGGCGGAGATGCGGGTGGGAATGGAGATGGCGAGGGGGGCGATGGGGGAGGTGAATGCGAAGAAGGTGGAGAGAGTGGTGAGGATGGTGATGGAGGGGGAGAAGGGGAATGCCATGAGGAATAGGGCGGCGAGGTGTGGGGAGATGATTAGGTCTGCGATGGAGGAAGAAGGGAAGAAGAAGGGGTCTTCGGTTAGGGCGATTGATGAGGTTTTTGAGTTGGCCATGCGAAAAAGCTTAGAGATGAATTAGGGTTTTTAGGAGATACAGAATAATGGAGATAATTAGTTTTATTGATAGTGGCATGATGAAAAATAATTATCATGAGTTACTAAACTTCTTTTATGATGAAGCTTCAATTAATCCAAAACTAATGATGATTTTCTTATTGTTTGCTCGTAATTTTATTTAATCTCGTTCATAAAATTAATATTTATGTCATGAGGAGAAAAAATTATTCTGTGCGGACATCGAGAGTCATTCGAAGGCGAATCAGAGCGCACCACGTCACCTTTGATACGTACTCGCTATGTACTGGGTAAAGTTATGTTCTGATTCGTCTCTGAACAGTCCAGTGTCCGCAGCGAATAACTTTTTTGGTTGGCCGTGCGAAAAATTTACATATGAATTAGGATTTTTAGAAGATGTAGAATAATGGAGATAATTAGCTTAATTTTATTGCCTTTAGTTTAATTTTAAGATGATGAGTTATAAATCATATTTCATTAGAAATGTCGTTCAATGGATTTCACTTTATCTCTAAGGGGTTGTTTGTGTGCAATTATGTAAACTTCCTATAAATTTTAAATATAATGTAAAGTAAATATAGTAAATTTGTAATTTATGATATTATATTTTTAGTTGGAACTAATAAGAATAATATAAAAAAATCAATCTAGGGCATGAGAGGAACAATTTCATGATGGTGCTCGCAGTGAGATTTGAGGAAAAATTATTACGTCCGGACGAAATACCGAGAGCAATAATTGACATGGGCGAGAGTAGGAAATTGCAGCATTGCAGGCAGTGGTGGTGGTCGATCGGGTTTCATTTGTGGTCGCAAGTCATTGTCCCATGAAAGTTTCATCGAGACCGGTATCAATAGAGTTGTATCACATAATATATATATATCACAATTACTATTATGATGGTCATAAGATTGTTCGTGTCATGTCCGGCACGAAAGGTTAAGTATTTGTGATGATAGTTTAATATTTTGCAAGCTTGCGAGGGTCACGCAAATGCCATGTGTATTATAATAGCCCTAATTAAGTAAATTTAAACTACATTAAAATTGAACTAAGAGTATTTCAAACTCTTTTTTTCTTTTTTTTTTTTTTGCATTCTTCTCTTCCAATGAAACACTTATTTTATTTTTTATTAAGAAATTTTCAATGATTTATTCCAGACATACTTAAACACACAAATTTAATCAGTAAAAATGATACAAATATTAATTTTATAAATAAATAACCTGTAAATATTATTTATATAATCCCCCCTTAAAGTCCTTTCAAATAGACAATATATAATTACACTTCATATCAACCCTAGATTTCAATCATTAAATATGAGACTCTTAATGGTGATTGTTTTTTTTATGACGAGGAACCGCCCGCTGCCACATTCGACTTCGTCAAGCGCGCTTGGCGGTCTATAAATCAAGGCCGACCTAATGGGCCACCCAGGCCACAAACCCATCGCCGGTGCTTTGGGGCCCCCACTTTAAAAAGAAGAACCATTCAATTGCAAAAGGGGCCCACAAGAACAATATCATAATCATAAATTTCAAGACCATTCTATCACAATATTTGATGAAATAAATTTTAAATGCAATAATAAAATATCATATAAAAATGGTACAAAATCATAGAACTTTGATATGAGCTTTATATGATAAAGATGATATGGGAAACAACATCAATATGTTATTAAATTCAAATATAATTATCTATTCTATGCACACTGAATAATGAAAATGATGCTCCCCATATGCTCTTATTTATGCTAATGATAATTTTTATGATCTACTCTTAAGTTTTATTTATGCTCATTTATTAAAAATAAAAAATAAACGTTTCAATAAAAGGTAGGACAAATTAATTTTATATATTCATCTAACACATAAATATTTATGTTTATCTATATAACACCAAAATCTATAAATAATATCCAAAAAAACATTTATATTAATTTTTCTAAGATAAAATACATATTTTGCATGCATATATTTTCATGTGAACGCAATCGGATTGGCCACATCATCCAATACACTATGCATTGGGTGACATGGTGCATCCGGATTCACCTCCGGACATATTCGGATACCGCACAGAATAATCTCCTTAGAGAGAAATTATTCTGTGCGGAGTTCGGATGCAGAACGTCGTTTGGAGATCAACAAGAATGCATCACATCAACGGTACCGAGCTGTGATATCGAACAGTACCGAGCTACCGAGTGAAGGGGTGACATGACATATTTTAATTGATCTCCGAACCGTATCCGCACAAAATAATTAATACTCCTTGGATAGACAAAATATCTAGTACTTTCAAGATTGCTACATGCCAGTTCCAATTCCAACAAAGATCTTTATGATATCTGTCTATCGTTTCAACTTGGGCAATGAAATGCTTTCCCTAGTGAACCGCATAACAATTCCTTCGCTCAGTGCAGTACAGCCGATCACCCTTAATAATTGAGACACCAGCTTTTTATAAAGATGCTTTCAGATTAGAGAGATTATTCTGTGTTGTGTTCGGAGGTCAATTCGGGTGCGTCATGTCATTCAATGTACTGTGTATTGGGTGATCTGACACGTCTGAATTGACCTTCAGATACATCTAGACACCGCACAAAATAATTTTTCTTTAGAATGACGGTAGAAAAAATAACTATTTTTAAAAGCTGTTATAAAATGTGATTTCCAAACATATTTTTTTTTAAATAATTAAAAATAATGATCAAATAAAAATTATGTTGCATGATGTCCCAAACAATACCTTAATCAATCAATAAATGTTTTCTCTTTTATTTTCATATACTATACTATTGTTGAAACTGCCGGTCATACATTGCACGAGAATCCTGAACTAAATACTAAAAACTGGTCTCCTATAATCCTAAAAGTCTAAATTTTATGTTTCATTTGCGACATCTTTCTTACGACCAGATGTATGTTGCGACATCTATCCATATTCAAATCATCCAATCTATCAAACATGTCAATGAATTTGATGGGAGATTGAAATGGTTTAGTTCCCATAAAAATTACACATGCATTCATATAAGTACAATCATATAAGGCATGGTCAATAATGTCATATCATGATTCAACATATCAACAACATGAATAATATCGAATCTTTATCTATCTTCATTGTGTACTGTTAAGAATCAAATTCTCATTTAAATCTAATTTAAAAAGATCATTTTTAATATTTTCTAACCAAGTCTTTTTTAGTCTAAATTCAACGGACCGAATAACTTAAACAAACATTGATCGTATGTGCATTCGTCTAAAGAGCAAAATATATGTATTCGTAGTGTTAGTGTGAAAACATGAGGGAGCATCAAAATGATATGCATACAAGGAATTTTGATAAACAAGAAATATAATAAACACACAAACACTCAACTTCCGTTGAATTTGAGTAGGGGTGTCAAAATCAGGTTTCTGGTTGAACTCAGAAATAACTCGGATTCAAACGGGTTGACCCGAACCCGACCCGATTTTGAAAACGGGTCGAAAAACTTTATATTATCGAGGCGGGTCAGGTCTAACCCGAAACACACAAACTTTGACCCGAACCAAATTTATAAACCCAAACCCAATCCAATTAAGGTTCCACAATCACCGAGCATTTAATCCGGCAATGAAGCCATCTTATTAATATGAATTCGACTTAGTTAATCTACCTATAATATCTCGACATTTTAACAAATATCTGATAACACATTGAATCAACAAAAATTCAATAAAATTTCAACCAAAGCAGAAGCAACATTCGGTTAAAATCCATAATTTAGACATCTCCATCCAATACATAATCAAATGCGCACACTCAATTCAAGCAAGCTTTTCGAAATTAAAACCTAGTAAAGAAAAATCAGCATACATAAACATACAAAGTAGAAACAAAATTATCAAACTAAAGTTTTGTATGGAACGGCTTTCTTTCAGCTTCTTAAAGCAGCTTTTTAATACAAAAACTAAAAAGTTGTTTTAAGAATCAGTAAGAAAGTCGTCCCAAACGAAGAATAAGGCTTCGTTTCGGACGTCTTTCTTTCTGTTTCTTAAAACGGCTTTTTAATACAAAAATTAAAATTTTTATACTAGGAAGCTGCTTTAAAAAACAATAAGAAAGCCGTCCCAAAATGAAGCCTTTGGACAGTTTTTTAGTACAAAAATTTATTGAATTAGAAAGCTTTATACTAGAAAACCGTTTTAAAAAGCAGTATGAAAGATGTCCCAAACGAAGCTTAAACCAGCTCATTACAGCAGGAAATGTCAACTAAAAAATAACTCAAAAGTATTACATATGCATAAATAATACCTGTTATTTTCCTCAGACGAAGGTCTCTATCACGACTGCCTGAACCCTGCAACACTCTGTCCGGATCCTCCAGCAATGTCTTCTTGTCCTTACACTGTCATTGGAAAATTTTTACCTTGTTTCCAACTTGGCTCAAACAGAAACATTAATCAGTTGTTAAGTAGCATTTCATTTGATTCTTCATCACACAAAACTTGCAAATTCCCCTAGTCCTTGACTTTTTTGTCCTTGACCTTCTACAATTCACTCGGTGCGTAGCATTTTACTTTGCCATAATTCTTCTCATTCCCTTGTAATTTGCACTCTTTTCAGACCTATCTGCATGCGAATCAACTTTCACTTGCACTATTAGGATTTACTGCTCCTTTATTGCTTACCTCTAGATACGTTTCCCATATTACCTTGCATTGCCATTTCTAATTGAAATGGATGTAGAATTTCTTGGAATACCCCACTCAAATTGCATCAAATCCAACACCTGATAAGCAAGGAAATCCGTGATAGGAAATATTTGAGTTCGCAAGTAATCCAAGAGGAAAATTTTTGAGTTCGCAAGCAACCCTAGTAATAATTGGTCAAAACTGTGGAAATAACACCAAAATCTGGGTGAAATCAACCCAAAAATGATAGAATGCAATTGTGGAATCAAAACAAAACAAACAACAAGCAAGATACAATTGATCCTCAATTCGAGAGGAGGATCCTTCTCTCCCAATCTCTAGACGATGAGTCTAGAGCAGAAGACGCCAAGGAACTCCAAGAGAATAACTCAAAACATGCATGCCCTAACCCTAGCCTCTCTATGTTCTTTAAGTACAATTTTTTCCTAATAAAAAGCTTCCTAACATAAACCAACTTCAAATTTACTTCCTTAAGCATTAGCCGCTCCTTCCTCTTTCTAATTGCCGCCCCATGGGGGGCCCACCATGCTTGGGAGGAACATTAAGGAGGCGGCTTAGGCCCCCTCCTATAAAATTGAACAGGCCCCTCCTGAGCCGGTTTGGTTGGTTCGGTTCTCCCTAGAACCGTAACAACCTGTTCGCTGGACCTGAATAACATATACAATCAAATCAACATCATGCCATCAGACTGTTTTGCATTGAGATCATATCATAGCATGCAATGGAAGGATTTTTTTTTAATATTATTTAAATAATTAGCATGCAATGGAAAGATTGATATTTAGTCCTACCCAGTTTCTACTACCACTATAAGGATCAGCATATGGCTCTGTGATAGATCAAAGATAATCTCCCTAATCTATTGTTTCAATTGATAGTTCTTATCCATAACTCTAACCTATTACTCAAATCCATCGTTCTAAATCACTACTCTAATGCCAATTTTACTATAACATATCTACCAAATGCAGCCCCCACACTGTAACAGATCTTGTCGAAGAAATGTAAGCTTTGAAGGTATAACTCATCACCCAAAATTCATGTTGTTAAGGCTTATGAAGTGTCCAAGAAATGCAAGCTTTGAAGCGTGAAGCTTAAACTACATCAATATATATATATATATAAGCACTTGAGCTTAATTTACATCAATATATATTTAATTATTGTTTATAGTGTTACAAGGTATAATAGCCTTAACTTTTAATAAATTATATTATATATGAATATAAATTTACACACACACACAAGAGTTTAGAACAATAAAATTTAAATAAATTAATGATAAATTTATTTTTATGTTGAGAAATTAAAGTTAGAGTTTCTTAGAGCTGCAAGTCATCTACAATACTACAAAAGCTTGACAAGTTGAATGACTAGAAAACGCATTCCTAAAAAGTATGTTCCTCAGAAAAATAAATTCGGAAAAGAAATAATAAATGAATAGAGAAGTTTATTAAATAGAATGAAGTATGTACCTACCTCGAAATGCCAATGAGAAACATTCATTATGATTCATAAATGTAAGCATTCGAAGGCTAACCGAAAAGTGCAAGCCTCTTAAGTTTCAAATTCATAGCTTTGAAGTGTTTTTCAAAAGCTTCAGCCGAAGCACAAAAGAGTGACCTTTGAATCAATTTTTATCAACATATCTTCATAAAATGCATAAAAGATGTCCATAATTGATATTCATCTGTGACTGTTAATTTGAAGCACAAAAAGATAGAAGTCTGGCCTTATAATCAACCTAGCATAATATGACCAAACCAAGATATTACGTTGTGAGGAATAATAAATAACTGCTGTATCGACAATGCACGTAGTTAAACAGTACAAGTAGTTTAAAAAATGGTACAAGATAACACAGTCGAAGAATTTTATAGAGAGCAAGGTATTAGAATATAGATGACTCGGCAGTCAAATGAAGAGAAGTAGAAACATAGGGTTCGTTTGAGACGGGTTTTTTATTGCTTCTTAAAGCAGTTTTTTAATACAAAAATTTTATAAGCTACTTTAAGAAGCGGTAAGAAAGTTGTCACTGTCAAAATCTCAGTCATCCCTTGGCATTTGATCCCACGGTTAGGATGAGAATCCGTGGGAGGCTCACCTGGATCACCCCAATATCCTTCTATATTTGGGTAGCTAAATTAGGAAGGATTATATTGAGGCAATTATGTATCAATTAGAATTTATTTATTTATTTATTAAGACATCTTGTATAGATCTACAAATAGGGATAATTTTGTATAATAATTAGAAGGTATTTTTACCCTTCTCAAATTCTATGAATTCTAACATGGTATCAGAGCCAACGGCCTTCATTGTCGTTGTAGAATGATCGTAGATCATCGGATGAGGAAAGAAAGAAGTAATCGAAGCCATACCAACAGAAGCTTAACGCCGAAGCGAAGCATTGCTGAGGACAGACGCCGCAGACGAAGCTCCCATGCCGATGGAAGCTTCCCGATCCAAACGTCATAAATTCTTATCTGACATAAAGGGAAAGTCGTCAAAGGAGCGTAGCCACGAAGGAGCCGAAGAAGCGACGCTGGACCCAGAAGCCCGAAGCCTGAAACCGGACGGGCTGAGCAAACTGTGATGAAGTCAAAGGAAGGAAGGAAGAGGTGGGGCCTTGCAGGACGGACGGGCCGAGCAAGCCTCCTGCGAGACGGAGCCAAAGGAAGGAAACATCAAGACCTCACGGGAAGGAGCCGCCTAATTGCGAGCCAACTATGCAGAAGCAACAAAGCCTTGCGACCAAAGCCAAGGTCGCGGATGGAGCTCACGACGCGGATAGAGCTGACAACGCGGACAGAGCTACATTGCCTAGACGACGAAGCCGGAGCTTGCGAATGAAGCCAAAGATGGAGGCAGACGGAGCGTTACCAACAAAAGTTGAAGACAGACGTCGGTACGCCGAAGACAGACACCGCATAATCCACAATCGGTGTCGCAAGAAGCTGCCGACACTGCTCTCATGCCGACGTCGAAACCATTCTCCCTACCTGCTGCTCGATTCGAATTTTTTTTAACTTGGCTCAATCCAGTTTATTAAACCAAGCGGGTCGTTTTATTCAACCAAGAGATTTGAAAAAAAAAACCTTAAATCAGATTTAAGATCTAATTAAGATCTAATAACAGCCTTTATTGTTGATCAAATCAACATTTATTGCTACTATAAATATAGTCTTTATTGCTGAAAATCTAAGGAATACAAAATTCCCACCACCGGCCTTCATTGTCGGAATTTTGAGGATGTTCCCATCACCGGCCTTCATTGCTGGAATTCTGAGGAATACAAGTTCCCATGACCGATCTTAATTGTTGGAATTTTGAGGATAGTTTTCCATCATCGGCCTTCATTGCTGACTTTCTCTGGTGGTTGATATCCTATCCATAATCAATGCAGCTCTACCTCTAAGCAAGTAATTGCAAGCTGGTCTCCAGCATGAGGGGGGTTGTCAAAATCTCAATCATCCCTTGGCATTTGATCTCACGGTCAGGATGAGAATCCGTGGGAGGCTCACCTGGATCATCCCAATATCCTTCTATATTTGGGTAGCTGAATTAGGAAGGATTATATTGAGACAATTATGTATCAATTAGAAGTTACTTATTTATTTATTAAGACATCTTGTATAGATCTATAAATAGGGATAATTTTGTATAATAATTAGAATGTATTTTTACCCTTCTCAAATTCTATGAATTCTAACAGTCACAAAAGAAGCCTAGGCCAAGCTAACAACTAACAAGGTTTCAAGAATTTGTCGGACAATGCTAGCAAGGTTAAAAGTAATTTAAATGACTAATAGAGAGAATTCAATTATAACTATCACAATCTTGAACATCTCCTTACTTCTTAAATATCAATACCAAAAAATTTATTCTGTAATCATTTGACATCCTCTTAATAAATTATGTTAACCAAACTATTTTAATATCACTCATAACTCCCCAAATCTTTGCAGTTATTTCACTAGACCTTAAGCTATATCTTTAGGATCTTCTTTAGATCTAAAAAACTTCAATTTTTAAATCAATTCATAAAATATCTTATTATTTTGTTTATTATTGTCTGTTAAAATATTATTATCTTAAAACTCTCATTTAATAAATATACAAAGTACTATTTTAATCTTTCCTTTATGTATTCATCTTTATCTAACATCTTCTTATAACCGTTTCAAAAGCATTTAAGTTAAGCAAAGACTTTAGATTTACATCTCTTGCATTAGGTATTTTACGTTTCCTTTTCTTAATCCTTATTATCTATTCTATTTTATAATCAAAAATTTTTTTCTCACTACCTTTTTTGCAAAAATTTTAGCTTCCTTATGATCTGATGCCTAAATTATAGTTTTTATCTTTTGTCACTCTTTAAAATTACACTTTTGTCATTAAAAAAATTTTCTCTCCCTCTCTGCACAATAAGTATCCTTAATAATTTGTTTCATCTTAATGGAACTAGTCGTGTTATCCAGCGTCTAGTTTGGCTTAACTAAAAAATTTTAAATGCCTCTCTTAATAACCTATCTTGAAATTTTAATCTTTAAAGCCCGACCAACTTATAATAAGATAATTATTTTTATCATTTCCTTCTACTTCTTACTCTATATAATAGTCAAATTTTCTCCTGAAACTATCTTACATTCTTTGACAAAAAAAAAAAAAAAATCAGTACTTCTAAGTTAAAGAGTTACTCATTATAGAAACATTCTCGATCATGGTAAAACGATTCCAAGATCTAAGGAGTCATAAACCGCTTGATCCCAAATAAACCATTGGCTCTAATACCACTTAGTAGGAGAGTGAAATATTAATGCCCCAAATTGAGCTAAGTACATTAGTAAATGGACGCTCATCAACCTAAAAAACTAAGCCAATGGGCAAGAGCTACTACTATCATCTTAGGAACTCAACTCTCGTCTCGTTTCCGATGTGAGAATATTATGTAGTTTCATACTAATCTTAACATTACCTCTTAAAGCTCATCCTACTGAAAGATATAAACCCATTCAATAAGATTCAATGATCATATTTTCTTCTCACATATGCATTGTTAAGAAATCTAAATATATAAAATGAAATAGAGACTAAAAGAAAGATGAGTAAAACATCTTCTAACATAATCATAATGTACACTAATTTCACTCCGCTAAATAACACTGATGTTAACATTAACAAAATAAAAATTCACCCTATTTAACCCTACTTAGTAACATAAATGATCCTTGAAACTAATAGAATCATGCTCAGAGAGGAAACTACACAAGGAATTACAGTTAACATTGCAGCTATCAATCACAATTACTCTCTATAAAGAACATTTCTTGAATCTTAATTCAATCATAAATGAAGCATGCATATTTATTTTCTTACAGGTCATGCTGGTGCTATCTCCACTCTCAAACGAAAAGTTTATGTATTTGCATTGCAGTCATCAAGACAATATCATCTTAATGTAAGAAAAAAACCAAGCAGCTAGAAAAGCCATTCCTAAGTAGTCATATCTTCTCTGAAATATATCAATAACATGGAAAATAGGGGCAACATTTGCATTTCCATGACTCTATAAAACTTTGATGAAAATTACAGGCATCTTATTGAGATCAGTGTAATAAACAAAGCGATAGATATACTAACTATAAAAAATGAATTGATACAAATATGGATCCTACATCTATGGTTCAAACAATGATGCAGGTATGGATCATATAAGTGTTTAAGAATTTATCATGTTACCAAGTATCATGATGATACAAATTCATTTCTGCGCTTCAACTGCATTTCTCAGCCCAAAACTCAAGATTGATCCCGCTGTTCATTTTTCCATGAACTCTTTGCAGCTTCTGCAGATAAGCTACCAGAATCATTGTTAGCATCCTTGGGTTTTGAAAAGAAAGGATCCCATTCATGAGCTCCAACCGTCCGTTTTCCTTCCTCCAGCAAAGCATACTTCCAGCTATTCTCCTCCACAAAATCCTTATCTTCATGATTTTCAATTATGTCCTTACGAAGTTTTGTAACTTTGTTGATTACTGCCTGAACCGAAACATCAAAGGCATCCTTAAGGGTCTCCAATTTTGATCTTGGATCAGCATAGACAATACTAGGAATGAGGCTTATAACCGTCTCTCGCATAGTCTGCACAACATCTGGAGGAATCAGCTTTAGCCTTTCCTCTAAGCTAAGATTTCTCTTTCGAATGTCATCTTCTGGGATAAAAACAGAATATTTTGTATAATCCCTTGGAAGATGCCATGTATACTGTGTGTATGCTGAACCAGGGTGAAAAAAAACTGGTATACAACCAGCCAGCATAGAATCAAAGGCAGATCTCCTGGTATAGGAATCCCCCTGAGGTTGCAAACAGAACAGCGACCCTTGAAACATCTGCATAATGCTGCTAGGAGAGTGGCATTTGCTCTCTCCAAAATCACATTCCAAAAGTTTACAAGCCGATGTTTTCTTGCACTGGTCCAAAATTTGCCCTCTGATCGATTTAGGATTACCCGGGCGAGGTGCTCCGGCAAATGAGAAAAGCCACTTCCTCTCCAATTTCCTCATTCTATCCTGCCAGGACAACACATCTGAATCTTTAGCTGGGTGAAAATATGTTGGGTATGGTATCCCAAAATCATTGGCATTCCAAGGGCTTGATTCAACAACAAGCATAGACATATTCTTCGCCGCAGGCAAGAACAGAAGCTTGTTACCCCAATCAGAATCCGTATCCGACAACCTCCTGAAATCCCAAGTAATCCTCCCTGCAACCAAGAAATGGTCTCTTCCACCCATCACATTCCACTCAGGCCGTTTCATTAGCCAATTCACCAAATCGAGAGAAGCTGAATCTCTCGTTGATATGTTAAATCCCCAAAGGTACCTTGCTATGTCAAAACCTGCATAGAAGGGCACAAAAACAGCAGCAGCAATTGAAGAATCTTTAGTCAAGCACTCATACTGCTTCATCCTGTTTCTGAAAATCACATCCACTGCAAACTGGTTGGTAGCATACCATCCAGTGTTTGAGAAAACCCCTTCAACATTATCAAGTGGAGGTCCAAGACCGGCATTGCTAGTGAACTTGCACATGTTGGTCCAAAGGCTGAGTTTCCGGCAATCCCTAAGCATGTCTTCATTGAACCGAGAAGGGAGATCGTGAACATAGATGTACCTTCCGCCGCACGGATCGCTCTTGTTCTCGGCTGTTCCGAGGGCGCGCATAAATGGGAATTTTTTCTCCGCTGACATCGCCCTGGTATGTGAAATATGGTGCTCCATTGGATGGGTAACATGTTGCTCGGTATAAGATGAAGTTGAAGGGAACGAGACAGCTTGCATGGATTGGTCGGGAGGGCTACTGCTTAGCACAGCAAAGTGGAAGTAAAAGATGAAGAACCAGAACACAGCCGCCAGCGAGGCTAGAAAGCATACACGAGAACGAGGGGTCTTCCCGTTGGACTTCTCCATCTCTTCGGGGGTTGTGGAAACCGGTAAGCGCCGTCTCATTGGATTCTAAACCAGAACGAAAGCTCGTAGAGCTTCTTCATCAATCAGAGAATCAGATCCAAGAACCCCTAACCCTAGGGATCCACAAATCATGTCATAAAAGAAAGGGATTTGAATCCAAATCAACTTCAACGAGCCCTAGGAACAAAGTTGCTGATTGAGATCGAAAAATATCAAATTTCAAAAAATATCTACAGGCGAAAACGTATTCGAGAAGGAAGCATTGGTCGAATCGAAAATAAGAATAAGAAGGAAGGGGTGAACTTACGGAGAAATCGCTGAATTATGGCTTTTTCTTCATCGGATGATCTGCCAAGCAGCCGAAATTTGGAATTTAGAAGCACGACGGCTAGCTCTGCGCGAATATATAGTGGCTGAGAAGACGGTGGTGCGCCCGTTTTCTTCCCGTCGGTAGCCAGTTACAACGAACTGCCATGTCGGAGGAGACGGGGAGGTGCCGGTAACTGTACAGCTGCCGTAGCCGTGGCAACCGGTAAAATACTGTCTTAGGAGAAATTTAAGGCTAGCTGATTTTGCAATATTACATTCATGTTTTTTCTTTTGCAATAAATTAGGCCACATAAATATGAAAATAAGAAAAATACTCATGAATTTATGGGATGTTTATTTGGAAGAAAAGTAAATATAATTTAAAATAAATAAATTATTTTTTTAATTTTTTGGTATTTGATTGGATGAAAAATAAATTCAAGATAAAATAAAGTAAATGCAATGTATTATATTTTAGTTTATTTTTAGGTAAAACTTTATTATCCAATTTGAACGAAAATATCAAGTGCTTCTTTGACCTTTCACAGTTACCTTCATATCCACCACTTGCTACCAGTTGCTTGCCTCCACTGTTCGCCACGCTTCTTTGTCGTCTGTCATCAACCGACAACCTCAATTGATCGTCGCCCCATTGCCGATAGCTATAGCCCCGCCATCGTTGCCCTCTAACTACCACCGGCCACCCCAATCACAACCTTCTTACAATTTACATAACAATCAATTTATTTTAAACCAAATTAAAAAAAATAAATAGTTAAGTCTTACATTCATTTTTCACTCATGCGAACAGCTCCAAAGTATTTATTTTATATCGCATTTCTTTTATGTTATATTCCTTTTACATTGCATTTCTTTTCAGGCAACCAAAAAATTTCTTAGTTGATAAACATTTTAAAATTTATTATTAAAGCTTAAATTAAATTTTATCTATATTAAATTAATATTCTGATATTAATTTAATCAAAAATTTAATTATGAAATAGATCAAAAAATGATTGAAATAACTTGTCCTCATACATAGATAAATTAAATATGCAAAAAAAAAAATCAAAACTTTATATTTGCTAAATTAGTGTAAATAATTTATGGTGCATTTTATGAATATGACATCATACCATGTTAAATTAAAATTCAGTTGCATTTATATATATATCCCTTTCAAGCAAAGTCAACACTGTTTACAACAACTCTATAGAATAAGAGAATAACATGAATGAAATTAACAAGATTATGGTATACTCACCTTGCTCTTAACTAAGGTTTCGTTTGGGACGGCTTTTTTATTGCTTCTCAAAGCAACTTTCTAGTTAAAAGTTTTTAATTTTTGTACTAGAAAGTTGCTTTAAGAAGCGGTAAGAAAGCCGTCCCAAACGAACCCTAACTCTCCAAAGCACTCAGGCTTCGTTTGGAACGGCTTTCTTATTACTCATTAAAATAGCTTTTTAGTACATCATTTAAATTTTTTGTATTATAAAACTATTTTTAGAAGTAATAAAAAGACCGTCCCGAATTAAGCCTCAGTCAAAGGCTTAGCCAAGAATAAGAATCTATTCACTTGCATTTATTCAAGCAAATCAAAAACTTTGCTTAGCAAGTCGATGATTTTGATCGATTAAGGGGGAAAGAGCCAAAAGAGGTTTCATGCAATCCCTAAACATGTCTTCGTTGAACCGAGAAGGAAGATCATGAACATAGATGTAACTTCCGCCGCATAGATGAGGGCGAACGTAAATAATAATTTTTTTCTTCACTAATATTGTCCCGATATGTGAAATATGGTAATACATTCGTCATATTTGTAAAAGTTAAGTTGAGAGTGGTGTGACAGAAAATATGGAGAAAATCCAAAACAAATCATCAATGTCTCATATTGGATTTTTTATTTCCTCTATGGTGTCAAAATTAAGTGATCTTGATTTTTTGAGATTTATCTCATTGAACCACTCAATTTGACTATAAACATGCCAGATTTTAATATCATTTGGTCATCCAATTAATGCCTTAAAATTTCAATTATGTTTGAGGCCCTTGATTTAGCATTCATGCTCGGACTGGATTATCTTTGGGGCCGTTTGGTTCCTCTTATCGAGACTTCTAGTTGGACAATTAGTTGCTAAAATCGGAATTCAGATGATCATGAATTTAATTTTGAAAGTTTTCTATGCAAATTACTGCAAATTTCATGCCCACCAAGGTGATTTTGATGGCATATCAGTCATAATAATGATAAAGAAAGATATTTTAAATTAATTTAATATTGAGATATTTAATAGTGATGTTAATTTGTTAGTTATTTAATCTTGATGTGTTAATTACTTTGTTCTTTAATGGTGATGATAATTATATATATAGCTTTTGTAAATGTCTAAAAATTAAATTAACATTCTTATATATCTATAACTAAATTATAGAGCATGGATATTTTAATTCAACAATCTTGAAAGTGTAATAGACTTCTTTCAAGTTTATAATCATTAATAGATGAATTTCATAGTGGGCTTAATTCTATATTTTGTATAGGGGTGTCAATTCGGGTCAACGGGTTGACTTCGGATCGAGCTCGGAACTGACCTGGCACTGTTCGTGTCAACTCGAACCCGACCCATTTTTAAAATGGGTCAGCTTACCGGACCCGAACCCGACCCGATTCGGGTCCAGGTCAACCCGACCAGACACGAATGACCAGAAGTTGACCTAAAATTGCTAGTTTTCTGGTCAAAATTCGGGTCAATTTTCGATTTTCGGTTCAAAAACCGGTCAATCTCGGGTTTCCGAGTCAAATAGGAGTTTTCGTGTCATTTTCGGATTGCTGGGTCAACCCAAACCCGACCCGATTTTTAAAACAGGTTGATTTGTTGAACCCGAACCCGACCCGTTTCGGGTCCGGGTTGACCCCTAACCCGGATTTTTTCCGGTCGGTTTCGGGTCATGTTTCGGGTCATGTCAAAATTTGACACCCCTAATTTTGCACATGTCAATAATAAGCTTTTATTGTTTCGTTTGGGACTCCTTAAAACAGATTTTTAGTTTAAAAATTAAAATTTCAATACTAAAAATTTACTTTAAGAAACAATAAAAAAAAAATTCGTTCCAAACAAAACCTTAAGCTCTCATGTTCTAAGCATTGCCATCAAATCTAATTAATAGTAGATTTATATCAGGAGAATTTTGATGTAATCAATAATTTTAACCATCTTATGAAGTGTAAACAATGCTTATTAATATTTAGAGGAAGTACTAGTAGATTTATATATATAAAGAGATTTAGGCTGAGTTCCTATAATGATAGAACTGAATTATTTGCCCACAAAATATACGCAGATTAACAGTACAACATATCATAGTGAGCTAGCTGCCCAAATATCAATATTTTATAATCGTAATGCTATTATATGAATATCATCAATATTAATTTTTTTTTTGTAGGATGAGTATATCTTCTCCTTTTTTTATGACATTTTCAAATTGAATAGTCACAAAATTTGTATATAAGAGCAGCTGGTAGATTACTAGCATACTTAACTTTTATGATAAATGATAGCTAAACGGGTTGACTCTAACTGATCCGTTTTTACAAACGGGTCAAGAAATTTAACCTGGGCATGACTCGCATGAGTTACAGGTTGACTTAAACTGACACGCGAACACGAAACGGGCTTAGGTTTTTGCAATTTATACTTGCTAAACTGACGGTAGATATTATATTCTGATGGCTACTGTAGGAAGGAGGCGGCGTGACTGGTGGGTAGAAGATTAGGAGGCAACTTTTTGAGGTGGTTGGGTCAGTTGGAGCTGCAGGAGGTTGGAGGATGAACAGCATAACCAATTGTCGCTTGGCGCTTACACCTTGAGGTGGTTCGGCCGATCAAACAACAGTGTGACTGGCACCCCGCAACAGAAGGTCCTTTCGTCTAGAAAGGTGCCGATTGGAGCTGCAGGAGGTCGGAGGCAGATCCGTGGAATAAGTTTTTTTTATGTCACAATGCTTCTTGCGTGAGTGATGTGAGTCGTGAGAAGGGAGTGTAGTCGGGTAGGGTTTTCATAAGCGGGTTAACACTGATCATTTTCGAGTTTTTGGGTCAACCCAAATCCAACCCAATTTTAAAAACGGGTAGACTTGCCGAACCCGAGCCCGACCCGTGAGTCAAACGGGTTGACTCGAACCTCAAATTTTTCCTATTTGATTTTGGATCATGTCAAATATTGACACCCTTGATTTATACTCAATAATTAATAGATCTGTAATGAAATTTTGTACTAAAACTTTTTCAACGAAATAATAACTTGTGCCCAATACATATTAGTGAACTTTAACAACTTGACCCTTTTAATTTGGGATTTTATCTAGCTATGATTTTTTTATATTGAATTAAAAATGTGCCTAATTAAATTACTTCTTTGATTATTTATGAAGAGTTTTCATAGATCTTTTTTCATGGACTCATTCAAGTTTAGCTAGTCTTGTTGCGTCCAGGAGTATTCGCGGCGGTAGAGAAATATAAAGTTTATCGTCTTAGCATTGTACGAAAATACGGCACGCAATCAGATAAGGAGAGAGGGTCTAGCATTTATGAAACACCAAGATTTTTACGTGGAAAACCCCTGTAAAAGGGGGAAAAACCACGGGGCCTAGCCCGGTTTAAACGAATCCACTAGTATTTGTAGTCGATTACAAATGAGGCCCTTCCTTGGGAGAAGGCCTTAGCTTGACGTACATTTTATGGAGTACATTACATGATGTAAATACAAAGAGCTACTATCGACGTATTCACTTTGTTAGAAGGACTGCAGTCGGCGTGCGACGTAGGTCAGGAGGATCGTAGTCAACTGGTGACGGAGGACCGTAGTCGGCGGGTGATGGAGGTCGGAAAGACTATAGTCGGCAGGCGACATAAGTCAGGAGGACCGTAGTCGGCGTGAGATCAGGGGCGAATTGAGAGTGTTTTGAATGGACGGCCGATATCGAATCCTTTGATCATGCACCGTTCGTTGGGCATTTGAAGGCCTTAATGATGTTGGAATTTGGCGATCTTGGGCTCGTTGGATTTGTCTCGTCGAGCCGTTCGATTCGAGTATAAGCTCGTCAAAATCAGAGACCGTTTGGTAACTCAAATTGCGGTTTGAACCTTCCAACAA